TCTCTCTCTCTCTCTCTCTCTCTCTCAAGAGGAAAAGGGTGCGAGAGAAGTATGTGAGAACTCCCACTATCAACAACCCTCTCCCCTGCACATTCTCAGGGCCGAGACGAGACGTATACGCTATATAATGACCTTCTTGGGTTGAAGTACTACTACACACATTGAGGTTACATGGGCGAATGGTCGGGGGCAACACACATATGTTCCTACATTTTTTTTTTCTTTCCATGTTTTCACGAGCCTCTCTTTGCTGTTTCAGTGTTCCAAACCGCCGTTGTTGCGTCGATGCACTAATCTGTACGAAACACGAAAACAACAAAGCTCACATGAGACAATTTAACCCTTGAGACACGGACTCTTACGCCCAATTAAAAGGACCTCTAAGGCTGAGCTACTGACAGAAACCTACTTGACGTAAATCATTTCACACGAGCGCCAAGACCTCAGCTGGAAACATGCTCAACAATAGTCCGTGAAGTGTAGAGTTCGAGTTTGAGTGAAAAGAGAAGCACATCGACACAAAAACGGCTATATAGTGCAGGGAAGAGGCAAGTCAGATAGACAGAAACAACAGAGGGGAAGAAAATAAGTAGGACTTAACTTTGACGGCCCCCGACCACCTGCGGGAAGGGACTCTAAACTCCCAGTGACGTTTTAAAGGGATTGTTCAGGGCGTTTTCGAGGCTCTCCGCCCACACGGCTTCGTCCAATTAGAGATGGTATGTACTTACATAGCGAGGTCCGTCGTTTCATTATCCTACAACATATTATTGGTCAATAGTATACACTAAATCGGGTCGAGCAGGTCGGGTTATGGCGCTGGTCAGAGCATACGGACTATATCACAACATTGACCTCTGCTTCGTTTAATCAAATTTGACCCGGAAATTGCAATGAATCCAACTTCACAATCTCCGTTCGGACCGAGCCAGAAAACTCATGAAGACAACGTCGGACCGAGCTGGGCTTCGAACCCCCAAATGGGTACGGTAGTTTAAGCAACTAGACAACAAGACGGGTGGGGAGAGAGGGAGAAAGGGGAGGGGGGAGGGGGGTAGAAAGAGAGAAAGAGAAATATACTCAAAGCCAATGGAAGGTGGCATGAGTCGTGAGAACGGACGACACGCCTGAATGACTCGTCATGGGTGGACGACTAAAAGGGAAGGAAGTGGGGAGTGGTGGAAGGAGGGGGTGTCACTCGGTGCACCAACACCCACACCCAAACACACCTAAACACAAACACACATACACACACACACA